ATGTAGGACATGTTTCTAGCAGGAACTGAAACAGCTTCTACAACATTAATTTGGGCATTTTTAGAACTAATTAAAAATCCACGTGTCATGGAGAAAGCACAACTCGAAGTGAGAGAACGATTGAATGGGAAAAAAACATTTAATGATACTGATTTGGAAGAGTTGAACTACTTGCAATTCGTTATCAAAGAAACATTAAGGCTACACCCTCCGGCTCCTCTATTAATCCCAAGGGAATGTAGAGAGGAAACAAAGATTGATGGATACACAATACCTGTGAAAACCAAAGTTCTGGTCAATGCATGGTCGATTGGTAGAGATCCCAAATATTGGCATAATTCGGAAAGTTTTATACCTGAGAGATTTGAGAATAGTAGTATTGACTTTAGAGGAAATCACTTTGAATTTATTCCATTTGGTGCAGGAAGAAGAATGTGTCCCGGAATGTTATTTGGTTTAGTTAATATTGCACATCCTTTATCCCAATTACTTTATCACTTTGATTGGAAGGTTCCTCATGGAGTCAATCCAAATGATTTGGACACGATAGAAACAGAAGGATTAACAGCCAGGAGAAAGAATGATCTTTATTTAATTGCTACTCCATTTGGTCTCTCTAAATAATTAAAGACATAGACATAAAGAAGTTTGAATTTTATTTAAGGTAATTATATTGCATATTTAAGGTGATGAATAATAAGGCATTAATAGTGTCTATTGTATAATAGAGTAAGTTTTTTTGTTTTTTTTGCATGTATCTGTATTTTTCATATTTGTGAATGGTAAACAATGATCCATATATATGTGGAATAAATAAAATATTTAGCAATATCCTTATATATGTGAAATATTTATATTTTTGGAATTGTTTAATTCTTCATTATGTTAGCTAGATTTCGATTGATCTTTATTGGGGAAATTGTATGAAATAGCAAACTATTAATTCAAATTAAATGTTATAGTCATAGCTTATTTTAATTGTAATTCGCAGCAAACATTCCCCTTTTTTGCCATCTGATTCTATATACAATTAGCCATTTTATACATTTCGGTATAAAATATATAAAATGTGTTTGTGTTTGTATAAAAGCGAGAGAAAAGTGTATATACAAATGCAAATACATATATTTTCGTCATATACACTTATAATTATACAAATACAGATCTTATTATACAAATTATAATGTATAAATGAATTTATACAAAACTGAACAATTTGTATAAAACTGAATGTTTGTAGCGAATTATACAAATCAAAAGCTCCATAACAAACATAAAATTTGCTATGAAGCGCAATTATGCAAACTATAGCTATAACATACAAATATAATTTTTATGTTTGCTATATGAGAAAGTTGTTCCTCTTTATTTTCATATCCAATATGGTCATCAAATTAGGCCCCCTTGACCTTTTACCGGAGTAAATAGAACTTCACAATCCAGGCCAATAGGATATTAATTAAATTGTTTCTAAAATTATTGTTAATTGTATTAAGCCTTGGCTTGATATTATAATTGATCTAGCTAGCTTCTTAAAGGGAGGGGATAATGTTGTTATGGTTCAAGAATTCAAAAATTGTGCTGAAAATGGAAAATTCCTTATCGAACTAGATTTAGAGAAAGCTTTTTGATCGTCTTGAGTGGCGCGTAATATTAAATATTGTCATACTATTGTATTGTGGACATCATAAATCAATTCATGTCATTATCGGTCCAAAGCATCTAACATACGTTACTTAAGTTGTATCCTTCAACCTTTTACCCTTCTGTATCTGAAATTGAATGTTGATGGGACTATTCCAACGAGAGGCAATGCATGTGGTATGTTGAGAGACATACAACTTCTATGCTACCATACCTTATGCACCAATTGCAATAATTGAATTGCGAGCTTTAGGTAAATGTCATCTAACTTTGAGAAAATGATCATTTGTGTCATTTGAGTTTGACAAGAGACTTATTCATGTCATTATTTGTTCAATTTTAATTTTGCAAAACCATTTTTTACACGTGGTTAATTATGATTCGGACAAATCATTAATTAAATCATTTTTTAAGAGGAAAGAGGCTCAATTATGCTATTGAACTTGGATAAAAGACTCATCTATGTCATTCATTAAAAGTTTGGGTTATATATGTCATTTTAATGAACAAATAATTACATAGATGAGTCAAATTTTTAACCGTAACATAAATGAATCTTTTCTCCAATTCGATAGCATATTAGAACATTTTCCATCAAATATACATTGCCTTTACCCTTTTCAACACAACTTATGAACAATTGAACATTGCGGATAATTTAACAATTGACTGAACACATGCAAATTTTCTTAAATTGACATGAGCTTTACCTCCAAAACCCAACAACTCATAGCTCTTCTCAGTTTTTGTTCTTCTCTGAAACATGTTTTCCAAATTCATACTCAAATCATAATCTCAGGACTATCTCAACAAAATTGCATCCTCCTCAAAATTGTCAACTTTTTTGCTTCTCATACTCCCATAAACTCATCTTCTTACGCCGGTCTTCTCATCAAACAATCGCAAAATTCGTCTAATTCATGGTGGAATATCCTCATTAGGAATTATGCTACAGGTGAATACTGTTCACATAGTGAAGCCATTCGGTTTTTTGTTGAAATGCGGCGTTCTGGAGCTGCTTCTGATGAATTCACATACCCTTTTCTCTTCAAGGCTTGTTCGTCTTTTTTGGGTTTGAAAGAAGGGAAACAGATTCATTGTGATGTCATCAAGATGGGTATTTGTAACAATGTGTATGTACAGAACACTTTGATTCATTTTTATGGGTCTTGCAAGAAGATTGTGGATGCATACAAGGTGTTTGATGTAATGTCGCTTAGAACTGTTGTTACTTGGAATTCGATAATTTCGGCTTGTGTGGGAAGCTGTTGGTATTATGATGCGATTGAAATTTTTCGTTTGATGAGAAAATGTGGGGTTCAACCGGACGAGACAACTATGGTGATTTTGCTTTCTGCTTGTGCTGAGTTGGGTGACTTGATTTTAGGGAAATGGATTCATTGTCAAGTGATTGAGCAAGGCATGTATGTGAATTGTCAATTGGGAACTTCCCTTATTGACATGTATGCTAAATGTGGAGCAGTGGATTATGCTCGTTTGATCTTCGATAGGATTGGTGAAAGAAATGTGTGGACATGGAGTGCGATGATTCTTGGATTAGCTCAGCATGGATTTGCTGCACAAGCCTTGGAACTCTTTTCGAAAATGAAGGATTGTTCTGTGAAGCCTAATTATGTGTCCTTTCTTGGTGTGCTTTGTGCTTGTAGCCATGTTGGGATGGTAGAAGAAGGGCATCGTTTGTTTCAAGGGATGGAAAGTCTCCATAGCATCAAGCCTATGATGGCACATTATGGTGCCATGGTAGATATCTTGAGTCGTGCTGGACGTCTGGATGAAGCATACAAATTCATAGTTGACATGCCCATTGAGGCTGATGCAGTCATATGGAGGACTTTGCTCAGTGCATGCCACATTCATGATATTAGCGACTATACTGGAGTGGGAGAGAAGGTCAGAAAGAGGTTGCTTGGATTGGAGCCTAAAAGGAATGGGAATTTGGTCATGGTAGCAAATAAGTATGCTGAAACTGGATTATGGGAGAAAGCAGCAAAATTGAGAAGAGGTATGAAAGAGAGACGACTTAAGAAGACCGCTGGAGAAAGCTGTGTATCAGTTTTTCAGAATCGATAGAGGTTGTTATCGAGTTCCAACGTGCAGGATGTTGGTGTGTGTCTGTCATCTTAATGAGATTGCATTAGAAGATGTATACTTGAGCAACCACCATGACACTATGTGTTCTATGCTATCAAACTGAAATATTAACAAAACAAAACAAAAAAAAAAAAAAACAGAAATATTAACCACCTTATATGATTCAAGTTATAAATGGCATGTCAGCTACACTATCACTCACCTAAAGGCTGAAAGCCGAACAGAAAATAAAGCAGAAGAAGCAGCTCCAGTAATCCATAAACTCAGTCCTCTCTAATATTTATTGCTACAAGAAGAAAAAGTAGATATACACCCCACCACACATTATTCATATTCATTGAAATCACTTAAAATGATCTATTGGATTGGTTTGAAGATGAGGAAGACTTGGCTTTTGCAAAATCAACAAGATCTTTGAAGAGTGCGTCCTCGGGTTTCTCTGGTTTGGATGGTGAAGAAGAATTAATAGAGAGATTCTTTGTTTGTCCAACTATGTTGTCATAGGAAGTCGATCCAGTTTTTGCGGGAGGGGAGCCACCAGAAACATGTTTCTCAAAGTACTGCTGTCTCTGATCATATCTGGCCGGTGGTGGAGGGAGTGCGGTAGGAGGAGGAGCATCCCAAGGTGCTGGAGGCAAGTTATCGGCAGATTTGGCTTTTGAATTGGATTCATTGTGGTTGTTTTTTCCAGTAAACATAGATGCAGTGGGGTTCAAGAAGTCCTCATCAGCAGTTGGATTTAGCAAATCATCCGGAGGGGGTGCAGATGAAGATGGCTTGGGACTTGACCATGGGATGGAACTCGCATTGTTTGAATTAGTTGAAGCAGCAATAGGTGAAGATCCTTCTGTTCCCAGTGATCTTTCTGATTCAAACCTGTCACCACTGAGATAATCAACCATTTTACCATCTGTAAAAACTGGTCTCCTTGATGAAGGTGGGGGAGGAAGAGTTGGAGTAATTCGCATAGGCTCACTCTTCACATCAATAGTCTTCCGCCCCTGTCCCTGTGATGGATCTCTTGAAGTTCTGCAAATTGAGTGACAGTAACACATCAAGAAAAGGAAAAAAAAAAAAAGGCAGAAGACCACACTGTCAAGGGATACTAATAGAGATTTTGGAAAAAGCACAACAAAACACTCCTAAAGCACAAACCTACACTCAACAATGGCTATAAATATATTGACAATTATAAGTTAAAATCTCTTAATCGTTACTGTCCCCTCAAGGGACAAATGATTGCCAATTATAGATCATGCAAGGTTCCATACTCATTGCTCAAGAATCTCACTCAAAGAAGATTCTTAACCAAGAAAGAGATTTGTGCCATGCCAGCACACACATGAATAAAGTAAATTCACAGAGGCACTAGATTGCACAATTTCTTAAGCATCAATCTGCAGAAGTCTTCCCCTTGAGAATCCAGGTAGTACCAGTGAATCCTCCTCTGAATTTGACAACACTATGAAGTTATGGTCACACCACCAGAGGCAGCAGTAGGAAAAGTAGGTCCAGAAAAGAAGTTAAAACTCAAGAATTGGGTACCATGGACTCTTTTACCCCAAACTCTCCCCTCCAAAACTTTCTGAAGGCCTTTGCCCCCAAACGTCGTATGGTAATATAATCGGCCCAATATTCTGTTAAAAATTGTAAAAAGGAAATGAAACTCTACCGAGTCCTCTTCTTTATCCCCAAAATCTCCTATTAAGTAACTGGACATATGTTTATGCTGGTGGAAAATTAAAAATCAGAAGCTAATTATTACTTATATGAGAGCTTGGTAACGAATGATAGCCTGGTATATGTTGATAAAAGCTTCATTAACTCTTTTATGAATAAAAAACTATGAATGTTCTAAACCTTGGTGAAACCCAAATTGTTATCACAATTCTAGTCTCTTTTCATTAGCACTAATGGAATTAACTACTGACTGTTTGTAGTAAAAAAAATCTAAAAGTAGGTTACCTCAGATGCATAACAAATAGGCTAAATGTCTAACTGTATTAACAACCTAAACAGCTGAGCGAACTAAAGTGAAAATGATATCTAGGAACCATTTGACATAAAATTCTTCCGCGCAAATGAAATCCAACTTCCCTTGATGGAGAATAAAGGGAGTTAATTTATGTTCTCATATCAATGACCATTTAAGGATCTCATCTAAATGCTTTTACAGCATCGTGTACTCCAAAGTGGCAATATTTGCAGTAAGAACAGCAAAACACCAGGCAAAAGTAAAAGTATAAAACTGAACAAAACTACTGTGCGAGTGGGGGGGGGAGAAGAAACGGTATAGCAGCAAAATGACCAAGCATTACATTACCTCCGTGATAAGTGAGAGAAATCATCTTCTGACTCATCATCCTCATGATTCACATTCATAAGGGGTGCAACAGGAGTTTCTCTGGGCGGTACAGTAATTGTTGAGGTTCCTTTGGCAATATCGTCATGTCTACGAAGAACTCGCTGCAGAGTGTCATTGAGTGCCAATCCTTTACAAAGCAGATCCTCGTCTCTATTTGCAAAGGAAAACAATGTTAAGGGGCTATTAGAAATGTAATAAAACCACAAAAACTTCAGGTTCTTACACAGTGTTGTTCACAAGAATCATCACACGCTTTTGGTAAGAACGACACTGTTCAACAAGATCAACTATCACCTCCTCCTTCACGGACTGCATAGACGTCACATAATAAATTAAAACATGAATGATAATTCATCTTGGACTTAACAAGTACCGTCAAACATAAATTGGATGTAACAATGCTGATGAACCAATATGTATTTTAACACTCAATGATGGTATGTAACATCACTTATCCAGAAAATGGAATACAACATGATAGTTCCTTGTATTTCAGCTATAAAAGTACTGAAAGGAAGAATAGGATATCTATAATTTATAAACCCTATTTAACCTACAAAATTAAACAAAAAATCAATATCTGTAATAGGTACATAAAAATATCTCAATCAGCATAAAAATGACAGTTTTCTTTCTCCATTGTTTTCAATAAGAGTTTTCGACATGGTTCCTTCACTATTGTATTTCTTTCTTTTACTGATTTGTAATGCTTTACTTGAGCTGAGGGTCTACCGGAAACAGCCTCTCTACCTTCACCAGGTAGGAGTAAGGCTGCATACACACCACCCTCCCCGGACCCCACTTGTGGGATTACAATGGGTATGTTGTTGTATTACCAATTTCATGTCCACAACTACCTCAGCATAATGGTTATCACAAAAAAATGTTTGATGTCTTCTACTTCCGACATTCAATGTTTCAATATAAACTTCATTCAACCTTACGTACTGCAGCAATATTTTTTCTTAAAAACCTAGATGCAACAACATGCCCCCATCAAAATGGGAGACAAAAACCATGCCAGATTTTACATTAAAGGACTTCTGAAGGCACAATTTCTTTTTCCTCTATTAATTTTTGTTTCACTGGGGAGGGGATAGATAATCATTTTACCTAAGCTAGTCATTTCAATTAGTGAATGGGTGGAGGGGAGCATTCAGAGAAAGTGTAGTTCTGAAATTTTCCACTTAATCAAATAAAGTACCCAAAGACTACCCAAAAAAAACTCATTTAACCTATGAATAATTTATACCGCCCTTCGGGTTTTCAACTTTCATAGTAGTGAATAGGGACAAGTAACCACTATGAACCTGAGAAACAAGAGCTCAAACCAAGTTCTGACCTGAGGATTCTTTGGATCCAAGGCACCAAGCATCTCTGTCAAGACATCTGATAACCCCTCAGCACTTTGAATCTCTGCAACACTGAAAAGACAGAATACCAGAAATGTCACTTCCTTGAAATTACCAGTTAGAAAAGCTGCTTACTTGAAACTAACAGTTCTTTATTTGACTTTCTACATTTATTTTGTACATGACGTCACGTTAAACAGCCGACAAGGGACAAATGCATTGGAGAAAGTTGCAGTAAGTTTGACATAAGTCGGATAAAAAATCCTCAGCAATTAGAATGCATAGTAATTGAATAAAAAGACAGCGCTCCAAAGGTCATGAGTCACTTAGACGCCAATAATAACTCAATTCAAAAGAAAGCAGCAGTAGAGTATAGCTGAAATTCAGGGCTTTTCATGTCGTACCACCTCAGCTAAGATGGGAGCATTTAAAACTTACAATATGGTTACCAAATGAATGTTGTGGGCAGCATCAAAACTGGCAACATTGAAACTGTGCTTTGATAAAGGTTGCTCTATTTGATCAAAAGTTTTTAATGGTTTACTACATTCTTCCAGTTTCAATGCATCAGCCATGAATGGGTCAGAACTGCTAGCTCATCATGTAATAGAAAATGATAAATGGATCTTGGGCCTAACTCAACCCCAAAACTAGCTCAAGAGGGGAGGATTGTCCAAAGACAACATAAGGAGACCGACCATCCCTTTTTCATCCAATGTGGAACTCTTCAACACTCTACCTCACGCCCAGGGCTAGACATCTGGGACATGGGAAATTTAGTATGGGGTGCCCAGAGGCGTATCCAGGAAGGGGTCACCGGGTTCACGTGAACCCATGCTCCCCTCCTGAAATCATATATAGTAGTGTTATATTTTTTTAAAATATTTAAAATATAGATATGTGAACCCACACTTGAAGTATTATACTGTGCGATTAAGTTGTAAGCACCTCTCTAAGTGAGGTTAGAAATTTGAATCTTTTAGTTATCTTGTTTTATTTTCCTTTTTAAAATTGGGTAATGTCTCTCTAAGTGGTTTGGATAGGTAAAATAACTTTGGACCTATAATTTAAAATTTTAATTATTTTTAGTGATAAGAACCTAAATGTTAAATCGATCAAATTTATATCTTAGATCCACCTTTTTGTAATAGTGCACCCATCATCTCAAAATCCTGGATACGCCTCTGGCCGGATGCCTAAATTAAAAAAACTATGAATTAGGATGGGTCCTTCTCTGATACCATGATAAGGAGATCACCCATCCCTTTTTCATCCAACAATGCATTGTTTGAATCAGAAACTTCACTTACACTTGAACAAGGTTGCCATAAATGCTGGATACCACAAGTGCTACCCTCAAATTTTAATTTCTAGATAGCTAACTTGGGAGACTAATAAAGGAACACAAATTGACCTTTAAAACACAGAGGTGGTGCATATAAACAATAGTGAAGCACTTACTAAAAAGAGGAAGGTGCACATAAACATATCCATATAAATCTTAATAGTGTTTTTTAATAAGTGAAATGTTCATAAACAAAATTCCAACACTTTGAGCAGGAACCATACCAAACG